TCCCAGCCCAGCACCTGGCTTCCCCTGTGTCACCTGGCTTGTTGATTGATTTGTTAGAGCTGTGGCCAGCCCTTGTATTGTACCCCTGGGGGCCAGAACTTGCCTGGGTTGGAGCCCAGCCCCAGTAATTGACCTTTGATTGATATAGGCAGTGGTTTGAGCTGAGGCCCAGCCTAGCCTGGAAACTTGCCAAAGACTGAAGAATCCACAGCCTGTCTTTCTATCAAAGTTTGAACACTGTTTCCTCTAGACTGAATGACCCCTGGCTTTGGGAGAAACACCGACCTTTGAATGTAGATCCAGCCAGGGCTCAGGAAGAACAGAGACGTGTGCCTCCCACCTGGGGTCAGGATCTCTAGCCTTCTAAGAACATCCAGGGCCATTGCCCCTCTATATGGTCCTCCTCCCCATCCTGACCTGCTGTGATTACTGAACTTAGAAAGTGGGCCAAGCATGATGGCCCATCTTTAATCCCAGCACTTGGGATTGCAGAGGCAAGTGCTCTGAGATTGAGGCTAATCTGGTCCACACAGTGAGTGAGTTCCTGGCCAGCTGTGGCTACCAGGAGACCCTGGCTTGAAAAAGAAAGGAAAAAAGGGAGGGAGGGAAGGAGAGTGTCTGACACATAGTGGGAACTTAGCCCTAACTAGATCACATTAGAGGTGGTAGCTGCCATCAGAGCTAGTTCTTTGTGAATCTCCACTGAGTGCTTGCTGTACATGAGCTCAGCCTGTCTCCCAGTGGCCCCATTAGAGGTGCCATTACATCCAGGTGTCTCAACTCAGCACCTGTGACATCTGAGGCCCATGATGGTCAGTTTTAATTGTCAACTTGACACAATTTAGAATCACCTGAGAAAGGAATCTCAGCGAGGGATTGTCTAGATCCATGTCTGGGGGATCCTCTTGATTATGTTAATTGATATGAGAAGACCCAGCCTAAATGTAGGCAGTACCATTTCCTGGATTTGAGTCCTGAATTACTATAAGAACAGTACTGTTGGTTCCTTTTGATGCTGTGATAAAACACTGGTAACCAAAAGCAATTTAGGGGAGGAAGGGATTTATTTGGCTTATACTTTCAGACCATTATTGAGGGAACTCAGGGCAGGAACTCAAGCAAGAACTTGACACAGAAATCAGGGAGGCACGCTATGTGCTGGTTCTGGCTCATGTTCAGCTAGCTTTCTTATATAACCCAGGACTGGCCTGCCTGGGGATGGTACCACCCACAGTGGGCTGGGCCCACCTATACCAATTAATAATCTAGATAATCACACACACACACAGAGAGAGAGAGAGAGAGAGAGAGAGAGAGAGAGAGAGAGAGAGGCCAATCTGATCTGGGAAATCCCTCAATTGAGATTCCCTTCTCAGATGACTCTAAGCTGTGTCAGGTTGACAGTTAAAGCTAACTAGGATAGGTAGGAAACATGAGCTGAACAGTTCATTCTCTCTCAACTGTGGATGTGATATGACCAAGCTGCTTCAAGCTCCTGCCTTGACTTCCCAGACTGTAACCTAGAATTGTGAGCTAAAATAAGCCCTTTCTCCCTAAGTTGCTTTTTCTCGGGGTATTTATCACAGCGACAGAAAAGAAACTAAGACTAGACTGTTCTGTGTGGAGGCAACTGACCTCCGGGGATTCTGTAGGCTTCCTTGGTGTCCACTTAGTAGCACCCATGGCTCCCAGCTTAAGACAACCAAAAAATATATCCAGGTATTATCAAATGTTCCTTAGGGAACACACATCTGTTAAGAAAACTGCATTGTGTGGAGGGGAGGCCCAGGCAGTCTGGCTCCAGAGCTAAGATTCATCATCTCTGACCTTTATTGGAGCCCAAGTTCAGAAAGTAGGGGGACATTGTGGTCCTAAAGGGCACAAGGAAGGCATTCACGTGTCCTGCCTCAAGAAAGACAAGTCCCAGCCAGGTGTGGTGGCACACGCCCTTAATCCCGGCACTTGGGAGGCAGAGGCAGGTGAATCTTTGAGTTCAAGGCCAGCCTGTTCAACACAGAGAGTTTCGGGTCAGCTGGGGCAACAGGGAGACCCTGTCTCAAAAAAGACCAAAAAAAATAAAGACAAGTCCCTCCCCAGGCCAAAGGAATGCAGCAAGTACCCAGGCCTCGGCCCCCATGGAAAAGGAGGGGTACCCAGTCACCTCAAGGGCTCCTCCTACTGCAGATGGAGGCTGGGCTGTGACAGCTCTTGCCTGCCTGACTTGCATCCCACCACATCCCCTCACACCTGCCCCCCAGTCCCTCTGCCCACAGGGCTCACTGGTCTGCCTGTCTCCACCCAGCATTCTCACCCTGGAGGGAACACAGGGTCCTTGAGCCCCATCTTTGCTGTGTTTTGTCACTTTCAAGCCCTGACTCACTCATGCACGGACTATTTATACCCCTCACACAAATGCACACCCTGGCGTTCCCAGGAGACAGTGCGCTGCAAGTGGCCACAGGATGAAGAAGGGAGGCTGAGTTAAGCACTGATAAACAAGGTCATTGGCCAGACAGACATGGTGTGTAAGCCCAGCTGCTCCCTTACTACTGTGTGACCTTGGTCAGTTAGCCTCTCTGAGCCTCTCTTATAAAAGATGTTCTTATGAGGATTAAATGAAAGAAAGAAAGTTTCTAGTGTAAAGACAGATTCCAATTTGTGACAGCTGTTAGGTGTCCAAAATGGGGCCGAGCTATGTGTGACTGGAGAGGGACAAAGGGGGAACATAAAGATGACCAGAAAGGAAATGTGTGTTCCTGGGACACAGATCTCTGGAATTCAGCACCTCTGTGTCACACTGTTGTCACCAAGCCAGCTGGTGACAACAAGATTTCCTTAGGCAGAAAAGTCCCAGTGCCACGCTGAGGCCGCTTTCCCTAGCTGCTTTGTCCTAGTGCAGGCCAGGTTTTGGTCAGCCTGACAAGAGGCCTGGCTAGCAAAGCCTTTGCTCTAGGTACATGCAGGGGACAGGCTGGAGGCCACCTTGGACCGCACTCATAGCACAGGAGGCGGTGGGAAAGGGACATTTAAACTCTGTTCCTCCTTGTCCCTGTCTCTACCATGTGGTTGGTGGTAGAGAAAACAAGGGAGGGTGGAGACAGAGGCCTCGTTATCATCCCGTCTTGTGCCAGGCTGCCCAGTGTCTCTGCCAGTCCCCATGGGCTCCCGGCACAGCCTGTTCCCTGAGCACAGCCAGGCCCACTTCCTCCCTGTGACCATGACCCTGCCTCTGCTTCTCCTGGATGTGATACTCTGCAAAGGCTGCTGAGACCTTGTCCTGCATTCAGTCAGCCGTCTAAGCACCAGCTGTGTGTTCTGGCTTCCCCTCCCAGGACCTAGCACTAAGCCTTGAGCAGAAAGTGAGATCCCCCGGTATGAAAGGCACCGTGTGAGAAGACCTGTGAAGGAGCATGTGGCTCAGTGCTGGAGCACTTGCCTAGCACCTTCCAACCACAGCCCCACAAAAAATATGATGACCCACACCTGTAATCCCAGCATGCAGGACGCAGAGGCAGGAGGCTCACCACACGTGCAAGGCCAGGCCAGTCTACATCATGAATTCCAGGCCAGCCAGGACTGCCTAGTGAGAACCTGTCTTAAAACTTAAAAGAGGCCATCTTTACATTCATGCTGTGCTCTGACCCCTGGGAATGATTTTGCTCCCCAGGGACAAATGGCAGAGTTTGGGAGCTATTTGGTTGTCAAGGCCTGGGAAGGATACTATTGTAAATACTCTGCAAAGCACAGAGGCAGCCCCCAAAGTGATGAGTAACCCTGCCCAGTAGGCTGTCTAAGATTGAAACACCTTGCCCCGAACCACAAGGCTCTGCTACCTAAACGGAGCCACAGATCAGGGTCAAACAAAGCTGAGATGTCCCTTGAGTGGCCGTAGAAATGCCTGAACTAGGGGCTGGAGAGACGGCTCAGTGGTTAAGAACACTGGTTGTTCTTGCAGAAGACCTCGGTTCAAATCCCAGCACCCACATGGCAGCTAACAGCTGTCCGTAACTCCA